TGAACAGTGACATTAATAGTAATTCTCTGCTCTGACTAGATATATTAGTAAGACTAACTACAAATTATTCCTTTATGGTCACACGTTAACTAACTGCCTTAGCATACTACTACTGCATATGACATATTCATAGAATGTTTGACAAGGTAATAAAACCCTGTTTCTATAATTACTGTTAGTTCTGTAAAAATATTTGTGCAATGAAGCAAATTCTGTGCTATTCTTTTGGAAATTTTCCATTCCTATCACTAATTAAGATGTAGCATTGCCATACAAGCCCTGAGTATTTCTGGCATATGGCTTTTGGATATAATTTGATTTTAAAATATTCATTTTCTGGGTTTTTGTCAATGTAGGTTTGCTACAGCAATCCAAAAGAATATAGCACTAACTTACTCATTTTTCACATTAGTAATATTAGCTGAGACCTCTTTCACTATCCATTCCAATCTGCAGATAGATAATGGGAATCTGCCCTATCCATCTATCTGAGCAGAGGCCATTGGATGTTCAAAGATGGAAAGAGTGTTGCGTTTTTTTGAAAAGAACATAATGGTAGAGGTCTCTGTCAGATTGATCCTAGTGCTAATTTTTGCCTTTGGTTGTCACAATCTTTCTCCTGTGAAGGTCTATATAAAAATGAAATTGAATTGAAGAAGAGCACAGAGTTGCTTACAGCTGTTGCTATCTTCAGAAGATACTGAAGGGTAAAAGGGTCCCCTCCCCCCATCAAAGAAAAGAGACAGATCTGGTCATTTAAACAAATCTGCTCTGAAGGGTATTTGTACTCTGTAGAAGAAGATTCTCCTATCATCACTGACAAATGGAGATTGTCTAAGGACCCTAAAGACATACCTAACGTGAAGCAGTGCTACAGCCTCTGTTAAGACCAAATTATAACAAAAGTAATTTACTGATGATTGCCAACAGCCATAAGTAACATATAGTTCCTTTAGACTAATGTGTATTGCATTTTTAACTTCATATAATACAGCACACAAATGTAGACATCATAAATCAATATCACAGACAACACAGAGCAAAACATCAGCCAAAGCTGCATTTCTCTACTAGATTCCTTATGTGCCTCATGTTTACATTGATACACATTAAGATGTTTCATGTTTAATGTACACAAGAAATTGTCTTCCTCCCCCTACCACCTTCTCGCTTTAGAATATTGATATTGCAAAGGAGGCACAGAAAATGGGGTTATTTTGGAAATTAATAAAGGCCCATGCCCATAGATATATTAAAAACATTCAGATGATTCCATTGTGTATATAGGGTTGTCAGACCTGAAACAAACAAAAACAGTATAAAAGAGTTTCCAGTTTGACTGAGAGTAACAAGAAATGATGCTTTGGCCTCTGGGTAAATTGAGGGGTACAAGAGGAGAACCCAATACCTTTCTTTCAGCAACCCATTTGGAACATCAGTAACAGCTTTCAGGATACCTTTCCCAGAAATTAGGCAAAACTGTTGCTGTGAAAGCTGGCACAGTCCATTTGTGGGAAATTGCAAGGAAGAGAAGAAAAAAGGAGGGGAGGAGGAAAGGAAATGAGTAGAGATCTGAATTCAAGCGTTTTATTACAACATACAATGGAAACTCAACTAGTGTTCTAAAATGTTCTATGGCTATAAGGTAATTCAAAGTGACGCCTTTAAAAGCACAAGACCCTTCCATTTTAAAGGGAAAGGAATCCAATCTCCTCTCTAGTGATCTGGAAGGAATTATAAAAGTGAGGTGCCAGACTTTCCTTATTAATAAAGAAGAGGGAAGATAGAAGTATGTTCAAAAAATGTAACATCTCAAAAGTACTTCACACACAGTTAAGAAGTCTAAACTGAAACTATAGATTAAGAAGGACTTTAAATGGCAGATTTCAATATAGTTCCATTCTGTTCCCCTGTGGCATCTTCTTCTTCTTGAGGAAACCTTACTGGAATAGATTTACCCTCACTTCACTGGAATGGTTAGTCAGAGCTCTACAGAAACTCCAAAAGAATCTAACAAATACAAGGACCTCAGAATCAGTTATTAACTGTGTGACTTTGGGCAGTCACTTAACCTCTCAGTTTCTTCATCTGCAAAATATGGGTGGCAGTATCTGCCTCATTTTCCTCCCAGGGTTTTTAATGACCAAATTTGCTAATGTATATGAAAGTGCCTCATAAACTGTCAAGGGCCAAAGAAGCATAAGCTCTAGTGATTTTTATGATCCCTCAAGGAGGTAGATTGATACCAGTAGCAGGACTGAGACATTTAATTTAACACATTAAAAAAACTTTTTTAGAACTCTATATTAAAGTAAGATGCCTTTATTGATGAAATGAGCAGGCAAGTTTTATTCTCCCATTTGCATGAATTCAGGGCCTAGCAGAAGTTCAAATCATGTTTGAACACAAGACCTCACAGGGGAAGGGAATAAGCATTTGTTAAATATCTACTACACTCTAGGCACGGTCCTAAGTGTTTTTACAAATATTATCTCATTTGATCTTCACAGACAACCCTATAAGGCAGGTACTCTCATTAGCCCCATTTTACAGTTGAGGAAACTGAAGCAGAGTTAAGTGACTTGCACAGGGTCACACAGCTAGTATCTGAAGCTGGATTTGAACTCCTGTCTTCCTGATTTCAGGCCCAGTGTTCTCTCAACTGTGTGACCTAGCTGCCTCAGCAAAATGAGGTCTTTTATGTAAGGTGGCTCCTAAAATAAAGTCTGTCTCTGTCCTACTCCTTTATTTCTTGCCTTATTGCTCAGTCATGCCTGACTCTTTTTGACCCCTTTTGGGGGTTTTCTTGGCAAAAATACTGGAGTGATTTGCCATTTCCTTCTCCAGATCATTTAACAGTTGAGGAAACTGAGGGGGTTAAGTGACTTGCCCAGGGTCACATAGCTAGTAAGTATCTGCGGTTGGATTTGAACTCATGATGAGAGTCTTCCTGACTGCAGGTCCCTATCCACTGCACCACCTAGCGGCCCTAAGGGGATGCAAAACTCTGTCCAGCTGGGGTGGGGGGAAGGGGGGACAGGACGATAGCTACTAAAGGACCAGTGTGCAGTGATTAATGACAGCAGGTTCTAAAGAGAAGAGATTTATCATTCAACAGATAGAAGACATGACTAACCAGGAATGTGAATGATCCATATCAAATGCGAGAAACAAAGACTTCAAGAGCAGCAAGAAAACAATAATACACTCCATGTATTAGTCCAGGGGTGGGGAACCTGCAGATCCAGGCCACACATGGCCTTCTAGGGCCTGGGGTGCGGCCTTTTGACCAAGTCCAAGTTTTACAGAACAAATCCTTTTATTAAGGGGATTTGTTCTGTAAAACTTGGACTCGGTCAAAGGGCCACACTTGAGGACCTAGTGATCCACATGTGGCCTGGAGGCCAGCAGGTTCCCCACTCTGTATTAGGCACCTATTGTATGGAAGGTACTAGGAAGAGAATAACCCCCCCCAAAATGAAAACATTCCTTACCCTCAAAGTGTTTATATTCTATTGGAAAAGAACTGCTTACCTACAAAAGTTATCCATCACAGAAACAAGAAGGATGCACACAAATGAATTGAAATTATTGCTGGCATTAAATATGGTCAGGAAATATGGGTATATATATCCATATTCGCTATCAATTCTAACCCTGATCCTAACAACTGAAAAGGTATTGGATTTCTTTAATCAGAAAATGAAAATGTTCCCTGTTTGCCTAAACTATGAGGAAAGTCAGAATTAATTTCACCTTTCCACTGGAGAAATTAACTCTTCCCAATTGCCCAAGGCATCTTCTCTACTTTTTTATTAATAGTTTTGAATTCTGTTAATTGTTTTGTTTAAATTGTCCTGATATCTCAACATCAGAGCAAGAAGGAATCAGGACAACAGGTGGGGAATAAATCATTAAATATAAATAAATAAGCAAATCACTCATAGGAGCACCCTGGAGCTTCTGTCATGCAAAGTGGGCTTCTCTTGAGTGTGAGACATGATATTTTTCAAGGTTCCTTTTCCTTTCTCTGTTTTTATGCTTCTTTGTCCATTTAAAACTTACTAACTCATTTGGATCAGATAACCAAGGTGAAGCAGAGATCTGAACAGTAAGCTAATCATTTAGGGGTAATATAGACATACAATTGGAAAACTAATCCAGGTCTTCATACAGGGAACATAGTAAAGGCTTTCACCCGTCAGACAACTCTCTGGCCTGAATTAGCCTCAGCAACCAAACTCAATGAATAAGCCTTTCGCTGGCACGTGGGAAAATGGATAGCATTGTCCAATACAGTGCCTTGCTTAATAAATGCTCGTTGAACTGAATGGAATTGAATGGCACTGCAGAATTGGCCTGCTGCCTTCTGGTAGGTTGTGGTGTAGACTGAATCCTTTGCTCCCAGGGAAACAAATGTTTGCATTTTAACAGATCTCCATCTATGCAGAAATGATTTCTGCCTAATGCAAATATCCTCTGTAAGGATAAGGAAATCATGTGTATGCTATACATAAACACAACCTCTATGGAAGCAAGGCAGGGGTGATGAACCAAATTTTAAAAGCTTATGATGATGGGCATGTATGGTGTGGAAAAGGAGATCTCATCATACTTTTGGATATTTTTTTAAATCCCAAGAGCAGTGTCATGTCATGCACACACTAAGGAGACAGCATTTTGTGGGAAATATTGACAACTTAAATGAACATGGCTCTTTTTCTGTATCTAGTAGACACATAGCAAATATTAGATGGATTTATTTTTCTATTGCAACATCCATTTACTTAGCTTCAGCCACAAATCATAAGCATAGTTTACTTGGCTACTATCAAGTGCATTCAAAGCCATTGTGATTTATTGTCTAACCTAGGGGTAGGAAATCTGTGGCCTCAAGGCCCTTTAGATCCTCAAGTATGGCCCTTTGACTGAATCCAAACTTCACAGAACAAATCCCCTTAATAAAAGGATTTGTTCTGTAAAACTTGGACTCAGTCAAAAAGCTGTACCCAAGGACCTAGAAGGCCACAGGTAGCTGCAGGTTCCCACCTCTGGTCCAAAGAAACTAAAATGATAAGGAATGCATCTGATGGAAACCTAGGGGCTCATAGGGCAGGTAATATTAAGAGGTGAGTCAAGGTAAGAGCTCAAATTCAGGCAGCACTAAGAAATGCCACTGAGTTCATAACTACACTGCATTATGGGAAATATCAAGAAAGGCTATTATTATCTCAATCTCTCATTTTTTTCATTAACAAATTGCCCTAACAGAGATCACTAAAGGGTCCCAGTTAATATTATTCAAACTGAACCACTTCCAATATCAAAACTAAACCACCCACATTAGAAATAAATAAATCAAGCTTTCCCAGCATCAATCAATGAATCGTACATGCTGGATAAAACAAGTGCGGGTAGGGATGACTTACAATTTTATTTGGGGAAAAGAAATATAACAATAAGATGGGCCTTCTAACTGCCCTGATCTAAATGGAATACAAAACATCATTTCATTCCTTTTTTATGGTTCCTCACAGATCAACTTTTAAGATCTTTCATGACTATGTCCCTTGAATCTAGCATTAGACTTGTACCTCTAGTTGTAAAAATGCAATGCTGTTTTACCTGCATTTAAAAGCTTCTAAAGACAACATCCTATAGTTCCAGAAGACATACTGTTACACAAAAGACAAGTCTTTGGTTATTAAAACAAGATTGATCAAATTGCAATATTTTCCAAGCTTAACTTATCATAGGTCCTAGGATTAATCTCCCCGACTTTGCTCTTGCAAAAATAAAACAAAGTAAGTCTTGACTCTCATCCTAGCTTTCTTATTTTCTTATTTCTGTACCATCCCCTGAGTCACACAGGTTTTCGACCTCAGAGATGTCTCTTACTCTCCCATGTCTTCACCTTTCACATCCAATCAACTGTCAAATCCTTTCTCTGCATTGTACCCACCTTTCTACTCCCACTGTAACCACTTTAATTCCCTCCTTTGTCACCATCTCACCTGCATCATTGTAATAACTTCCTTCCTGGCTTTCCTGCTTCCAGGTTAGTTGAGGCCTCCCCAGTGCATCCTTGCTGTCACAGTCTCATCATTTTCCAATGCACTGCTCTGATTATATCACTACTCTCCTCAGAAACTTTCTTCACCAAGAAAGCCCATACTTTCTTGTCCCAAAGGAAATTTAAATTCCTTCTATTGGCATTTAAGGCCTTAACCAATATGGCACCAACTTACCTTCAAGTCTTTTCTTTCAGTGTTTTCCTTTCCTGTCCTCTACAGTAAAGGAAAAGTGGATCATCCACTGTGCCCAGTTCTTCCTTCTCTGGCTCCTTTATCCTTTGCTTACTTGCTTACATCCCTTGTCTGAACTGTTCACTGTTAAATCATCTATTCTGTACTTTCTAAAACAGGATGGTTTTATATTCGTGGATGGAAGGATTGTAAGAGCATCATGGATCATGCATTTATTTAAAGCTGGAATGTGCTTTATCTAGACCAACATCTCCCACTCCCACTCCCACTCCCACAAAAACAAACAAAAAACAAACCACACAACAAACCACTCTGTTTAACAGATGAAGAAGCTGAAACCCAAAGAGGTTATGTGACCTGTCCAAGCTCACATACATTGGGTGATTGATCAAATCGTAGTCATCTAACTGCAAGCCCCCCTCTTCCCCCTACTCCAAGCAAGAGTTTATTCCCTGAAAAGAAAAGGAGAAAACCCCCTCAAACACCTGTGTGTTTACACTTCAGGCAATTTGATTTTTTCAAATGTAGGTTCTGATAAAGTTAATCCGTGATTCTAACCTAGAAAAGTGAAATTTTTCAAAGAACAATAATGTAGCTCATTTGAATCTTTATTTCCAATGGAAGTGGTATACATAAAGATGCTTTGGCCCAGCAGGGTCATACTTTTATTCACCTAAGAAAATTCCATTCACATGAAAATAAATCATAGTATTAGGGATTATTCTTCTGTCATTGTTATTCCTGGAACTGAAATAAAGGCGGTTAAGTTATTTTGTAACCTTGCCTCAATTTATTTATTTTCTCAGTTCCTTATCTTGAAGGAGGGTAATCAAGCAGATAAAGAATGAAATAATGGAGAATTCCAAGCTGGTAGCTTAATGTATGACTTTCATTAAATTTTTTTTAAAAAGTTTTAAAGTGGCTATAGAAAGAGTTTGCTTTGAGTTCTATTTGAATGTTGTAGAGCCTTATGCAAAACAAGTTTTAGGTTCTGCCCAAGATTTACTGTTTCCTAACTCCTCAGAATTGAAACCACTGCTTGAGGTAATGCATATAGGTCTGTGTTTATAAATATAAATATTCAATTACAGACAAAAGAACTACATTAAAATTTTCATTTTTGTTTGTAATGAGTAATAAATGATGATTAATGAGTAATAAATGATGATTAATAAGCAATAAATAATGAAAATACAATGGAGAGCAAGTTGTTAGATGAGACTTGCTTACAAATAGTTTTTTTTCCTATTAAAAATTAAATAATTGTCAAGGGAAAAATGCACAATAAATACAGTAACATAAATGAAAAGAACACTAAAAGAAATGAATTCTGAAGCAATGTAATGATCCATTTTGACCTAAGAGATCAGATAATGAAATACACCTCCCAGTCCAGAGGTAAGGAGCCCCATTTGCAGAATGCTGCACATGCTAGTGCATGTGGGTCTGTACCAGACCATCAGAGTGGTCACTCTATTAACTGGTTTTGCTCAGCTGTTTAGCTGGGGATGTATCCAGTCATGACTTTGATGTAAAAACAAAAGCCATCTATTTCTTAGGGAAAGAACATGGTCCTGGTATCAGATCACATAGGTTTGTGCCCATCTCTCATACTTACTACCTGTATGGCTTCAGGAAAGTCAATTAACCTTTTGGGCCTCAGTTTAATCATCTGTAAAATGAGGGATAGGGATTACATGGCCTCTTCTAGGACAAAATCTATGGTCCCAAGCTCTGGCTAACTTATTAGCTGGGGACAAACGGTTGTATAAATGACTTTCTTTCATATGCTATACCTTATAAACTCCTTTGCACAATTTCAGTATCTTATTCATTTGTATATGCCCTTAGTGCTATAATATTGAATCTTATACTCAATACCCTCAGTTGTAAATGTTTGCTGTACTGAATCTTGAAAATGTAAGTGTGGTTTTTTCTCACCACCCTACAGTAGAAAATTGATCATCACAGAAGTGTACAGATAAGCAGACAAAGGAAAACAATTTATACAATTGATAACGTCTTCGAAAGATCTAAGATTTCTGATCAATGCAATGACCAATCACAGTTCCGAGGGACACACAATAAAGTACAATAACCACCCTCCAATGGAGAGGTGGTGAACTCAGGGTACGAAATGAGACATCTATTGGGTATAGTCGATTCAGAATTTTCTTTTTGCTTGACTATGCATATTTGATACAAGAATTTTTCTTAATTTTCCCTGCTAATGGCAGGGGGAGGTGAGAAGGAGAGAATAACAAAGTACATGGGTGCATTCAAAATGCCATAGTGCTTTGCAACTATCTGTACTAGAACTGTTTTAAGATTTCTATCCATTCATAGTAGGGTTTCAACTTCTCTGACAGCTTGTCTTTAAAGCTTTGAAGCAATTCAGCTATTGAATAGATGCCTGGGGAGACAAGTGAAACAGTATTAATTTTACTGAGAGTGATGTTTTACCCAGGTTTGCCATATGAAATCTCTTTTGGTCTCTGACCAAGATATTGGGTCAGCAGTATCCTACTAGAAGCTGACAAAAATATGATTCTGTAGTTGATTACCCCAGAATTGAAATAGGGGGATTGACCAGTAGTTTTAAAATTCAATGCCCTAAAAGACATTGCATACTTAAAAACAGTATTAAAAAAAATATTCCTATGCTTAATGCATGAAATTGATCCACATCATTGCTCCCAGAATCCTTCTCTTTTAAGGTGCACCTCAGCTACCACCTTTGTTCCTGATTCTCTGAGCTAGAAATAATCCCTGCCTCCTCTAATCTCTCACTTTATCCTGCTGGACCTCTTCAATGTATTTACTGATAATTTAACTTGTATCATAGTTACTGTGTACAGTTTCCATCCTCTGTACCAGCCCATAAACTGCTAAGGACAAGGACTGAGGTTTTTCTTTTTTATCTTTGCATATTAATACCTGGTATGGTACCTTGAACAAAGTAGAAGCTTCACAAATGTTTGTTGAATTAAAATTCAATTACTAGACAATACTGTTAATACATCAAAACAGAGAAAAGTACTTGACAGCAACACTTGCTACATTTGCTAGGCTAAAGCATTTTATGTGTATTTCTATCTATTGTAATGAAAGAGAATAGGATCAGGAAGAGATACACCATGAGGTTGAATGGAACTTAACATCTCTGGGTTTAGAATTAATTGTGAAATAGTTTCTTCAAAGTGCCCGAGGCAATTGTATAAATGCAGGCTCTGGGCAAACATATCTGTTCAGTAAAAACAACATTTTCACAAGTATAGATCACAAGACTCAAAACAACAAGATTTTGTTTTTTCATCCATCAGAAAGTTTTACCCTTTTCAAAGTTTTCAGCTTTAGAAGTCTTTGATTGTCTTTGTTCTTGGATTTAAGTGTGGGGAGTTCCTACAACTGTTTAATTCTCTTTCCAATTTCCAGGGCTTCCGTATTTTTTATATTTCCATGTTCCACATTCATTTTTTGTATGCTACCAACTGAAAGGTAATTCATGTTTCTTTCCCTTTCCCTCACTTCTGGTCTCATGTTCGTTTATTCCTTAAAATACAGAAATTTCTAAGCTTTTAAGACATGTAATTTTAAAAAAAGATGCAGGTTTCCCTCTCAAATCTAGTATCATTTGCCTTCACTCTAACCCCCAACATGCCTCTCTCCTTCCTACCTCTGCCCCCACCCTATACTCCAGCAATGTTAAGGCTAGTGGTAGTGATACCGCTATCTGGCTTATGTATAAATTGCCTTCCTTGTATGCTAAAGGAAAATCCCAGATGCCTTTGCATGACTGCACTGGTGATTGTCATCTTCTAAACAAAGACGCTGAAGAGAGGGAATTCAGCCTGGCCAGGTTGCAGCAAGTCAATCAGGAAGCACACAGTTCCAGAGAAGCCTTCATATAGACTGTAAATACTCTCCAGTATCCGAGAGCCAGCTTTGAACTCTTCTGTAAACAAGAACTCTGCAAACCTGAGAGAGAAAGCAAATAAGAAAGCATCACTAGTTTTCTAGTGATAATTTCCACAGTACAAGCCTTTGGGTTGTTTCATGAACCTGGGTTGTGTAACATTCAGTGAGTTCAAGTTTAATTCTTTCCTTTCCACAGAGATGAGGAAGAAGTTGCTTTTCTTGTGAAATAAAGGTTTGGCCCCATTACCCTTGTTTCCATGTAGAGAGAATGGAATCACAATTGGGCAAATAAAGGGACTGAAACAGTCAGGTGATTCAATGGCTATATCTAGTGCTGGACCTGGAGTCTGGAAGACCTGAGTTCAAACCCAGTTTCAGACACTTATTAGTTGTGTAATCCTGGGCAACTTACCTAACCTCTCCTAGCCCCAGTTTCCTCATCCGCAATGTGGGGATAATAGCATCTACTTCTTGGGTTTATTGTGAGTATCAAACATGATATTTGTAAAGCACTTTGCAAATCTTAAAGTACTATATAAATGCTAGCTATTATCATAGTAATAGGGAAAGAGATCAAGGAATGAGATACTATTAGGTTGAATGGAACTTAAAATTTCTGGGTTTAAACTTAATTGTGAAATCATTTCTTCGAAGTGCCCAAAACAATGGTATAAATACAGACTTTAGGCAAACATATCTATTCAATAAAAATAACAAATGTTAGTATAACATAAGCCTTAGGACAACCAAGATTTTGCTTGTTTGTAAAAATATTTGCAAACTGTTGTTGTTGCTGATAATGATGATGTTATTATGCCTTTAATTAAGAGATTCCATTGCTAGATATATACCCTAAGGAGATCATTGATAAAAAAAGAAAAGTCCTATATACACCAAAATATTTATAGCAGTACTTTTTTTGTTAACAAAGAAATGGAAACAAAGTAGATGCCCATTTTGGGGAGAAATGGCTAAAGAAACTGGGATATATGAATATAATGGAATCTTACCATACACATATGAATACAGAGAAGTATAGAAAGTATTACATGAATTGATGCAATGTGAAGTCAGCAGAGCCAATAAAGCAATATGCACAATGACCATAACAATGTAAATGAAAAGAATAACCAACTATTACAAAAAAATTGAAAAATAACGTTGTAGAGAATAAGCATGGCCCCAAAGAAGACATATGAGGAGACACTTCTCCCTACTTCTCTGCAGAAGCTGGGAGTCCATAGGTGTGGAATATTTTATATATATATTGTCAGATTTTTTTCAATGAATTGATCAGCTTTGCTGATTTTTTCCCTCTTCTTCCTCCTCTTCCTTTTCTTCAAAAATATATTTATCTTATTTGTTGTTTTTTTCTCCCTCTGGGAGAGAAGAAGGGAAAGGATACAAGGCAATGTAGAAGCAAAACATATCAAGAAAAATTATTTTTGTTTAAAAAAAGAAAGTTCTAGTTCATATAACCATACTATAGATTTGGAGGCAGAAGGGATCCAGAGATCAATTCCAGTCTTCTTTATTTTACTTTTGAGGAAACTGAAGTCCAGAGAAGTGACTTACCCAAAGTCATACAGGGAATAAGTGGCAGAACTGGGATATGAATTCAGGTCCTATGTCTTGAAATCCAGCACTCACTCCACTACAGAATAATTAAATAACTGTTGATATGTTTTGTGCCAAACTATCATTTTGTCAAGCAAATCTTAAGTAATTTCAGTGCTTACAAAGCAAGGCAATTTGATATTCCATGAGGACTCTTCCACCCTCAATTGAAACAAAAAAAGAAAATCATTATCATGGTTTTTTTCACCCCAAAAAGAAATGTGAATATTATAAATGTTCCTTTAAAAAGAAATTTGTCACGTTCCTCTGCGGACAGTTTCACTGGCCTAGACTTCCTTTGTAGTTGACAGACAATCTCTGTTATGAGAAAATGTTTCAGAAGAATAGATTATATTCTTTTTTTTTTCTTTTTGGCAATTGGGGTTAAGTGACTTGCCCAGGGTCACACAGCTAGTAAGTGTCAAGTGTTTGGTCTGAGGCCGGATTTGAACTCAGGTCCTCCTGACTTCAGGGCCGGTGCTCTATCCACTGTGCCACCTAGCTGCCCCAAATAGATTCTCTTCTTCAATAAATAGGATGCATGCCCTTAAAGGAAGGCAAGTGTTGCAGCTTACCTATGGAATCAGTTTTTGTTGTTGAGTCATTTCAGTCATGTCTGACTCGTCATGAAGCTATCCGGGATTTTCTTGGCAAAGATACTGGAAAGTTTGCCATTTCCTTCTCCAGCTCATTTTACAGATGAGTAAACTGAGGCAAACAGGGTTAAGTGAATTGCCCAGGGTGACTCAGGTAGTAAATGTCTAAGGATACATTTGAACTCAGGTTTTCGTAACTCCTGGCCTGGCACTCTATCCACTGTGCCACCTAGCTGCCCTTTATGGCATCAAACACCAACACCAAAGCCAGATAAACCAAATTATGATTTATTTTTTAAAGAAAAAAAACTATGTGTGAAAATATTTCATAATAGAGACATTATCATAATCAATTAATTCAGTAATTTGATTTTTTTTGTTCATTACCTGAACCACTTTGCTCTCTATCAAAAAGAAAAGAAAAAAAGGCAATTGATGTATTAGATGGCTAAGAGATTATGGGAACTCTTTTCCATTTAAACAGCAGTTGCTCAAATGTCATGTTGTTTAATAACTTCATAAGGGGTTATATGAGATTCATTAGCTATTTTATCTTGTTGAAGCATTTGGGCTTCCATGAAGGCTACTCAAAGTAAGTAAAGGTAAGACTTTTCCAGTAATTTCAGAAGACAAAATTTTAATCCATTTCATATCATTTGGTTTTTTGCACATGCCAGAATATGGAAATGTTTTAGCTGGATTATTGAGTTTCACATTAGTGTTTTGTTTTTAAGGGAAGAATTTTCATCCAAGAAGGATAAGAGAAAAAGATCACAGATAATTTTTCCTTGATATCTGGGACAATCTTGAGAAGCACAGACATAACAAATCAGTATTTCCATTTTCCTGACAAAGGAATAAACGCACAGAAGAGGGGCTCATATGAAATGGAACCAGCACAAAAATCTAGGTCAGCTTAGACCATTATTTATACTATTGAGTCCAGTAGAGAATTTTATGTATCAGATAATACTGCAAAAAGGTACAGAGCTTCTTGTTTTCACTTCCTGGGTCCATTCTGTCTCAGAGGAAGAGGGGGCCTTCCTCATCTTCAAAGCTAATTCCCACATCTGTGGATGTGATGCTTTCCTGTTCTATTTTCATGAGTGCTTTGCACCATGAATTAGTCTCCACCTCTCTGGCATCTTCAATTTCTCTGACTCCTTCCCCTTTGCTTACAGCTCAATGCTGAACAAATACACATATGAAAGACCAGAATTCAGCAAAGCCAGGGGCAAACAATGTCCCTGCTCCATGGACTTAGTCTATTCAGGTCCTTTTCCCCCTTCGACACATTTACATAGGAAAGCAAAAGAGTTTGGAGTTAAGAAACCAGTCAACAGCCCTAAACTCTGCCCTTCCTTTTTTTTTTCTTGGTAAAAGGAACAACTAAATACATGCTAATTGGGAACCATTTCCAATTGAAAAGTTATATAGGGAATTAAAAAGACTTTATGACTCTGTCAGACATGGTCTCCAGTTGACTAGTAAAAAAGATTTCAATAGGACATCTAGGTGGTGAAGTGGATAGAGTGCTGGGCCTGGAGTCAGGAAGACTCATCTTCCTGAGTGCAAGTCTGGCCTCAGACACTTACTAGCTGTGTGACACTGGACAAGTCACTTAACCCTGTTTGCCTCAATTTCCTTATCTGTAAAATGAACTGGAGAAGGAAATGACAAACTACTCCAATATCTTTGCCAAGAAAAGCCCAAATGGGGTCACGAAGAATAGGACATGACTGGAAAATGATTGAAGAACACTAGTCACCTAGAATGGTCCTCTGTGTTCCACAGAGCACATCACCTGATGCAAGGGACTTTCTCTTGGAAAGATGACATTCATTCTGGCCAAGGCTCAGAGAAATAAATAGACCCTTGTGGGAGAGAAGCCATTGAGGACTTTTTCCTAGTTCAATGACAAATTGTGATAGATTTCTGCTATTTCTAAAGGAAAGATGGAAGAAAATCCTCTAGGTTTGAAGCTAAAAGAACAATGGCAGCCTATTCCTTCTCTAAGGAAGAGGTAGCATCTCTGCTGGGGAATTTAGCTGAAGGAAGAAACTGGAAGTAGAGCAAGTCTCTATAGTACAACTATAGGTTCGGTGAAGCTGGACCTGAAAGCACCCACAGGATGAGCAAAACAATGCCAAGCAGGGGCCATACAAGACTAGCATGAAGCCACACTTAGCAAAGACTCCATCTCTGGCAGAGACAGCACACCACGCAAGACGAGCAGAAAGCAGACCTGGTAGGAGGTCAGCAAAGAGCAAGAGTGGGAGAAGCATGTTGTTGTCTGTCCTTTGTTTCAAAGAGGACCAATGACATCAAGAGGTGATGTCTTGAATCACTTATAAATTGGATTTAAGTGAGGCAAAGTTGCACAAAGTTGTCAGCCTTACTCTCTCTTCCAGAGTCATCAAAGTCTAGTGGCAACACAAAAGTCAGGATGACTGGCAATGGTATCTTAGATCCCTGACCAAGCTCTGAGCCCTCCACAGCACCTGCTTTAGCTGCCTTCATGACCACTGGAACAAATTGTTCTCATCTATCTATTCTGCTGCTGGGGGGAATCTTCACATGCGTGGGGTAGACATCCCCTAACTCACCAGTGGGTTTGAGGCCTATCAGTTAGCCTCAACCTGGTTTAGCCTGTCTGCTGAGATGGTTTTACCGGGCTGTGACCTCTGCACATACTACAGCTTCTTGGAGCCACAGGTGAGAGCTGGGTGGCAGGTGGACACCAAAAGTGGATGAGCAGCCCTGGAAAGGACTTGGCAAGCCCTCATACCAGAGTGCTAGTCCTCCCTGAACACCCCATTCAACATTACCAGAAGACCTTGGTGGCTC